TACTAAATAATAATAATATAATAATAATAATATAATAATAATAATAATAACTAATAATAAAATAATAATAAATCGTTTTATAACAGCATAGAGAAGTTGTAGCCTGTCCTGTATGTCTAAAGGTTCCAAACCAGAGCTCTGATCACACCTATATGGAAGCCTATGACGAAACAAGTGGAACATACCAACATAAATGCTGTACTAATCATGGTTGAGATACCTAAATTGGAAGTAGAAACCTACTCGAAAACGATATGGACACCTTAGTCTAAATGTAGATTCAGGCTAAGATGTTCTTAAAAAGGCAGGGGGATTGTCCGTAGTTGGAAACAGAACAAAGGAAAACCTGCAGCATGGTGTAACAGTAGTGGAAACATCAGTCAATAGCTGGAAGAGGATGTATACTCATTCCCGAAATAGAGTTCCATCTATACCATAAAAGGGAGTACTTAAGGGGCAGGTTAGATGCACAATTCATTGAAAATGATGCTAAGACCAAGAAGAGTTGCAAATCAGCAGTGGCAGCAGGAATCTGGCTTGAGATACATGCTACCAGTACCTGAATTGGGAAGTTAGTAGCAGCAGCAGGAACTTGGCTTAAGATACATACTAGAGAGGCACCCTTCGGGCAAACCAAAGATGGTAGCTCAAAAGAAGCGAATGACCTGATGGACCAATTTGGAAATTGTAAAAATAGGTTGTAAGACATGGAGGGAATATGTAGATTACCTAATATAATTAGTAGTAAAACAAAAATCCAGGTTAGGTGTGAGTAGGACACAATACAAAACTCTGGTAGGTTTAGGTTGCAGATAAATATGTCTGAGTCCTATATCTAAATAGATATATAGTGATAGACGATGTATAATAGATTTGTACTAGCTATAACAAGTATACTAATAAAGACTAGAGAGCATGACCTTACCTTAATACCAAAAAAAATATATATATATAATTTATAAATTACTTGTTTCAAAATAAATATGTCACTTCTTTTATTCAGAATCAGATGTTGAATTAATATTAATTTAATATCTATAATTTTCTTACTCTAATTAAGCCCAAGTAAAATGATTTGTCTATTCATCTAATTTTTGCTGAGTTTCTTCAGAGCACTAATATTTTGCTTCAAATCATATAGTTTTGCACATCATACAAAGATTATTACATGCTATTATAAATTTAATGCCAGAAAGATATCTTTTTTAAATTCTTTGAAAGCTAGATAAACTAATTTCTTTAATTTCTTCAAATTTTATACTATTATAGATATGAAACAAAGATCATTTGCTATTACAAGCAGATAAATAGACAATTTCTTTAATATCATCTCTAAAGCTACATCCTAAATATTTAAATTTAGTTATTTATAAAAATTTTAAATATAGAAATAATAATTAAATTACCTGGTGATGGAAGGCCATGTTGATTAGCAAAATTAGTAATAAACTTTAAAATATATAAAACAGTTGTAAAAGAAATTGCTGAATTGCTGATTTGATCAGTTAAACTATAAATTTTCGAAACAAGTCCATGCTTTTTATAATGCATACATAATGTTTTCTACCTTGTTCTACTAATACTATATATTAATAACTATGCTTTTTGACAAATTTTTTTTTGATTAAAACTATAAGTTGTTGTTAAATTAACTTTTAGTATACCATTTACTAAAATATCTTCTTTAGTACTAGCATCGATCATCTCTAAAAAACAAATATTGCTTTCAGTATATGACATTGCTTTGATTTTAAGAAATCTACTAAGTGCAATATTTGAATCAACTCTATTACTAAAACAATTTTGTTGATAGTATTTAGTTTGAGCTAATTTAATTAAAAACACTTGATTATCTTGTTTGTCTAATCGATCTTTTTGTTTAATTTCGTTATTAATTACAGATTGCATTGGGTGAAGTATATAAATTTTTTTAAATTCCTCTATTTGATTTATAGTAAAACAATCTTCACATTAAACAAAAAAACTCTTTCCGTAAATCCTTTTTACACAAAAATAACTAAAAATCCGTCAGTACTAAAATCGTCAATACCTGG